GATTTGCATACTGCAGGTTTACTCAGAAATTCTTATTTAACAATTTATTCAACTTTTATAAAGATTGGTTTATTTTTGAGTTATCGTTATTTTTTAGAATTTTCCTTAACTTTTTGGAAACCAATGAATTTAAAATGACGCATATATATTTATAATATGCATAATAACCTGCATATATAAAAGGGTCTCCAAATATAAGCATAAGAATAGAGGAATTACTCATGAAGTTAATTTCTGCAGCTTTCCGAAAACTAATTTTGTTTTAAATTAAAAATGCACGATATTAATATTTGTTTCATTTAAATAATTTGTCATTTCTCTTATTTCCCTCTTTCAATGATCGTTTTTTGCGACTTAATAGTATGTCTTTTTTTTTAATTTATAATTTTGCTACAATTGGTATGCAAGAAGAATTTTCACAGAAGCAATTTTTAAGATGTTTAAATCTAAAAATACATTATTAATATTCTCATGAAGAAGTTTTATCAATTCAGAATCATAATCTGGTAATTATAAAGAAATGCATCGATGCACTGATAGTTTTCATTTTTAATTAATTAATGCAAGTAATAATACGAGTTGGCTATTGCCAATATTGAAGTCTGCCTTGCTTTTCTAGAACAGAAATTCTATAAAATTCTGTAAAAAATATCTCCGTGTAAAATGAAAAAATGAAAAATAAATAAAGAAAAATTTCATTGATCAGTACTTTGCACGACAATACACACAGAAATACTCGGCACCTAATACATTAACACCAGAAAAATTTGTAGAGTGCAATCATTTCATACTTCAATTTGCGTACGGCCCCTGAATATGATCTCCAACTTCAAATTTAAATATCTCGTTCAGTTTTTATTGGACGGTAATCATAATTTTTATATTTTAATTTTTTATAATGAATATGAACATTTTCTGGCATGTATGTAAAAGGACCGGGGAATTATATAAGAAGTTATATTTTGTAATGTTCATAAAACTGATTTTCTTAATTTTAAGAATGCTCAATATGAATATTTTTGGCATTTAAAATATTTTTGTAACTCGTACGTTTACAATCACCTATTTCCGAAATTAACTACCGTTATGGATTTTGTAGATACGATGTATACATACTACTTTAAATCATATGCCCTAACTTAATATATATATATATATATATATATATATATGTCATAATAAAGCAAAGGAAATAACGAGCAGTGTAGATGCACTGTAGATGCGTGATTAGATCCCTATTGAAGAAGAAGAATCTGATTGCGTCGTAGCTAATGTTTGAATTCGTAAAGAACTTGGCAGTAGAAGCGATTTTAATTCCATTTTTATTTCCAGTTGATATTTGTGGCCACAATCACTTGGCACTCTAGTCGTGCCTTTCCACAGAAGATTTACATTTTTGATATTGTTGGGATAGAAAGCAAGCCAGCGAAATTACATCTTAGCACAGTAGAGAGCAAAAGCTGAAGTGCGTAGTTATGCAAGATGGAAGCACGCGAAGAGAAAAGTTTTGGTTTACAATTCGGTGATTGGTCGTCAAGAGGCATCTGGTATTAACGGTTACGTAAGATCGCATGATTAATTTGAATGACGCAATGCAGATAGGTTATTACGATTTTAGAATAGAGAGGAAGAATTAATGTTTATAGTTATAATTCTGATTCATACATTTTTATCTTACATATATTCCCCCCTTCAAAAAGAAAAAGGCGTAGCGACAGAGAAGCCTTTTTAAAGAGAAAGAGTTAAAGCACTAGCAAATGTTAAAAAAAAAAAATAAATCATAAAATTTTTGTCCTGTAAAGTATAATTTATAAATATCAATTTTTTTAAAATAATTTAATTTTTAGAGTCCTATTGAATTTTTCAAGCATTTCAGTCCAAAAGTCTTTTGTTTGAGAGTTCACATAATCATAATTCTTCAGGGAAGGTTCTTGTTATCGCAGAATATCACAAAATAAACTTTTACATAATCATTACTTATAATTAAATGTAATGCACATAAATATTTATGATACTTATTTCTATACTGATAAATTATAATAACATCAGATTTCAGAATTTATGGTTTCACCGTTATCACAAAATAAATTTTTACATAATCATTACTTTAATTAAATGTATGCACATAAATATTAAGATACTATTTCTATAATAATTATAATTTTCAGATTTTCAGAATTTATGGTTTCACCGTTATCATATTTCATTTACAATTCCTTTATTTTACCAAACTGGAAGCCTCGCAATACTTCTAAACAAACATATCCATCAATAGGGCTGTCCTCTTGAGCTAACCAGTGTGTTCTCTGCACTGGTGGCCCAGGGTGCCTAGGCAGTTACTTGAAAAGGCCTCCGTTCCTTGCATTAAGGTAACTGGCCTTTGAGAACTGCACTAATACATTCCATAATAAAAAATATAATAATAATAATAATATAAAAAATTTACACACACTCATAAAATGAGAGCCTCCAACATTATCTTGCATGAAGAGGGTAAAAGGAACAACTGTACAGAGGTAATTACAGGCCTCTGTTTGAAGGAACCAGTACACCCTCATCATACTATACTTAACACACAATAACCCATAAATTTTAACATGCATTTACCATAATTTCATTTACGTATCTGTAATTTTTAACATCTTTATTTTTAGAATAATTATAAAATTCGTATTCAAAATTCTCAACAAAATTTCAAAAACATAAAAACTTATCTTAATATCCTTCCCTATGAATAATTTAAATAGCTTAAAATTAATTACTTAATTTGCTCACACATAATTATGAAAAATTAGAAAAATTAATGAACAAGAATTTCAGATTTTCTCAAAACAAATTGCAGAAATTTTAACCAAAGTTGAAATCAAAATTATAGAATTCCACGCAACATATTAAATGATTTAGTTCCTGAGTTAGAGTCACACGAATGTAACAATTTTTGAGCTGTTGAAAAAGCGGAAGCGCAAATAATTTTCTGTCGCACATACTTGCAAACTCTAACTCGGATCGACCTTGAACCCGCTGTAATGCTGAATTCCTAAACGGTAATTCACTGATGAGTTAAAGCTCATCAGTTTTTCTGTTTTTCTCTAAATATTGTAGAGATCGGCGAAGCAAATTCAATATTCCTTTTCACTAGGCATTCGAACTTCTCAATTTATCGAGAGATTATTTTCAATCTGTAACCACTACGCGTGATTATTTTTTGAAGCACTTGCAAAACACGACAGCAGAAGAATGATCTGTTATTTTTTAAACACTGAAAAAACAAATTTGATGATTCACTTCTTTCACATTATCTTGGATTTATCACAAAACGATGATTTGGAAGAGCTGAACTAAATTTTCCATTGAGGTTTGCGGCTGCAGGAAACTATCCTGCCGGCTTAATTGTCATAATAAAAGCAAAACAAGGAAAGACGGAGCACTGTATCGATGCCGCCTAGATTCCATATTGAAGAAGAATTTTGATTGCGTAGTATTTAAAAACTTGGCAGTCGAGGCAGTTTTAATTCCATTTTTATTTCCAATTGACATTTGTGGCCACAATTACTTGGCACTCTAGACGTGCCTTTCCACAGAAGATTTACATTTTTGATATTTTTGAGATAGAAAGCAAGCCAGCGAAATTACATCTTAGCACATCAAGAGCAAAAGCTGAAGTGCGTAGTTATGAAAGATGGAAGCACGCGAAGAGAAAAGTTTTGGTTTACAATTTGGTGATTGGTCGAGAGGGATCTGCATTATGGGTTTAAGTAAGATCGCATGATTAATTTGAATGACGCAGTTTAGACTTAAGCGCTATGTTTAGGACAGATAGCGGAAGTTCTCAAATGAAATAGAAAATAATGGAAGTTATAGTGAATTAAGTTTAGAAGTTTGCTTTCATATTTTTTATCTTACTATATATATATATATATATATATATAATTCGCAAGCAACTAACCCATTTTGTAAAATAATTTTTTTTAAATTATCAGCTTTCCTTTCCAGAAAGAAACGGATATCATCGCATAAGTATGCAAACCCTTTTAAAAAAATATCAAAATACTTTGTATCATTCTTGTGTTATGTATTTGGTCAATATTTACTAAACCAAACTTTTTCTTTGTCCCCAAACCCTAGAATATAGAAACAGAGATATTCTTCGGTCGAGGAAAATAGCTTGAGATGGTTCTTTTGAAACCTTTCTCTAAAATTAAAAAATATATATATATTATATAATTAAGACACAAGAACACGCCGAATAAATACTAATTCAGAAGACAAACAACAAAAATCAGCGTTATATTTACAAAATTTCCACAGGACTAGTTTCGATGGTTTTACCGATTCACCATCCTCAGCTGCAAAACCTCAAATGAACTTAGATGATAAAGAAATGTCAGTAAACAAATTTAAATAATTCTTGATTCAAATTCCTCAAAGAAAAGCTAGTACCAGATGAGTTATGACAATGTGGAATCGCAACATACCATTCCAGAATCAATTAGTCCATTAATCTTAAGCTTGAAATATCTTTTCTAACAAATGTTATTAAGAATCCCTTTAATTTTAAGAGATACTACCGCAGATGTAGGTACGTGCCTGGACAGCTTAGTTATTGCTGGGATTAACTCGCTCATTGATTGTGTGACGTGTCTCAATAAATCTGCTAATCTATACAAATCAGCTGGTGACTAAAAATTAATTTAAATGTTTACTCATGAGTATGCGTACTCATGAGCAGCACGCATTTGCCGTTTAATTCCGAGATTGGGATAAAGAATGTAATTATATATCTTCTGATAATCTTCATTTAACGGAAAAAGGAAGTGAAATAGTTTCTTAAGATAGTTTCCTTTCTTTGAGAAAGTGTTCTGACTCAACATAAATGAGTTACGAATAAGGTGTCTTTAATTTTCCTTCCAGTTTTATTGGAAGGCAAATACCTCAGGGATCTTTACCGCATTCTTCTTAAGACAGAGAGTTAATACTTCAAGATAATCTGTCTCACTTACCTTAGAAGTGGTCAAACAAAGGCATTTTTCATTTCGTAGAATGTCCGGACAATCACCTTTTGTTTTATCCAGAGTATGTTGTATTTCTTCAATGAAAGCTTCTTTTAAGCCACTGTCTGCGAAAACAAAAAGAAAAAATCCTTAAAAGATCCTTTTGATCACAAATGTTAAATTCTATTTACAGTTCCCAAGGCAAAAATGCATTAATTTGTAAACGTATTTGTTATGGTATAGCGTAGAATGCTCGTATAACTAATCTTAAAATAATTGCTTAATTCTGTTAAAAATCAGTAACATTGTATACATGAGACAATTTTTATTGTTATCTATTTAATTATCTTTTTATTTTTAATATATATATATATTTAATTTTAACATATCATTCCTTGCATGATCTTATTCTTTGCGAAGGAGGATACCTACAGGGAAAGAGGCGATACCATCTATTCGTCTCATTACAGAAAAGCTGTCGGGGTTTACCTCAAAGAATAACCGACATTATACCCGTGAAAGAGGGATTATATATCCAAAGTCCTACGGCGGATACGAACCCGCATCTGGGAATTCGGCTAACAGTGATAATAAATAAATAAATAATAAATAAAATAAAATAATAAATAAAATAATAAATAAAATAAAATAAAATCTGAAAACTTTCAGATTTTATATTACGCTCAAAGGATATATTTTTTTTTCATTTACAGACTCATACACATTTCGATAGCATTTGGGCTAACGACAGTTCAGGATAAAACTATTTAAAAACAGCCTATCTTTAGAATTTCCGATAGGCAGTCTCGCGCGCTGGAGATGAAAATATTTTGTTCCTATAGGGCTCCTCTGGTCGCTTTGAAATTGTGAGATTTTTTAATCAAAAATTCGTTAAAAATTTACAAACTATGGAAAAGGCAGTAAAACAAATTCCCGATTCTAAATTCAGACTTCTGTGTGCCCACGTTCGGGTGGAGAACTACGTTATTAAAAATTTGATGACTCTAGCTACTGTTGTTTTCTGACGGTGCGAGAAACATACATACATTCATGCAGATTTTTCATTATTTAGCTTATTTAAATATAATACAGAGCAAAAATATTCGGTGGCCACAATGTGAAAAGTGATACATTGTATTAAGTGATTCAACGCAAAATACCGTTTCGAGAATAATTTTCCATCTGGGCTAACGCCCCTGTTGTCTAGTAATAAAAGGTGATATCTCTTTTAGATTTCATATTCTTAATGGTTCTATTATCGATTCCATTTTAGGAAAGAGAGGAATGTTAATCCTCCTATGTTAAAAGCGAATTTAATTTTTATTATTTCCCAACTTTTCAACATCTATTCTAATGGAATTTTACTGTTTATTCTATGTAAAGGAAGATTTTATGTAATTATAAATGCATAGTTAAAAGAAATCAGTCAAAGTTAGAGATTCAATTGATTCTTCCGATCCACTGCTTAATCGATTCTTTCCGCTCTTCACTCTGTTCTCGCGCGTCGTTCATCAGCGACTATTATCTTGTACATTAAGTATTATTATCAGTAAGAGATAAGTCTGAAAAAGGAACTTCTTCAGTGCCATGAGTAAAACAACACAATTGTTCACCTCTACCGATAACTATTATACATTCTAAAAAGCAATGCAGGTTATATTTATAATAACGTACATTGTATTATAATTATACAACTATGCAAAGAAACAAATGTAGTTTAATGTAGATTTTGTTTAAACCAGTATTGATTTCGAGGGCGACTAACATAGGTCTTCCTTCTTAAACGAGCATAATTGTGTGTTGGAGGCGAGCGGACAATCAAATAACAGATTAAATGAAAATGTGAGGCAAAAACGAAATTAACATAATATTTTATTGAGTAAATTATAAATCGAAAGGGCTTTTGAATTTGGTTTTCTCGAATAATTTCTGTGTGGTCTTTAGAAGTTTACAGTTTTTGCTTGTGGTTCAAATTTTATGCAATTTGTATATACATTTATTTAAGTTAAGCAACGAGTTCCTGTGTCAAACGTTAAGTCTCATTATGATTAACCAAATATTATGGAAAATGTTTTTATTTTCTTTTATTAAGCAGCCCAAAGGGGCATTTGTCCAGAAGGAACTATTAGTCTCAGAACGGAAGTTTGCTTTGGATCACTTAAATGCGTTGTATTACTTTTCAAACTGTTGCTACCAAATATTATTTAACTTATATTACATTTAAATAAAATAAATAACGAAAAATCTACATGAATGTTTCTCGCTCTAAGTAAAAAACAACGGGGCCTTGAGCTATCCAATTTTGAATAACGTATTCCTCTATCAGAACATGGGCAACAGAAACCCGAATCTGGAATCTGTTTTATTGTCTATTTCATATTTTGTTAAACATTAATGAATTCTTGATTAACAAACACAATGATTTCAAAGTGAGCAATGGCAGTACTGTGCGAATATATATATATATGATGTACCAACTTTAGTCGTAGCTTAAATTATCAGACGATAAGTTTAAAAAACAGGATCCATTTATTATTATTCAGGAGAAATAGCAGTTACAAAATCAGATATCCGGAGTAAATAAAAAAGAATTACTAATAACTTTTTGTATGAAGTTTACTGCATCGTGACATTTAAGAAAAAGCCCCCGATATTCTTTTGCGAGTCCTTTTATAGCCTCTGGAAAGGCGGAGCTTCCAAGAAATGACGTCAGCCTCGTCAGCCAATTAAATTCGCTTTAAATATTTCCAGAACATTCTATAGCTGTACGTGTAGAAAAGGCGGGAAAAACAACTTGACTACGGGGCAGTGGATTTAATTCCACGTGCTTTCAAATAAGAGAACGTCGCCATTAAAAATGAAAAGAACATACAGTTAGAATTTTAAGTGTATTCTTGACTATGGAATTTTATTATTACATATATATATATATGTATATATGTCATATTAAAGCACAAAGGAAAAAGACGGAACACTGTAGATGCGTGATTAGATCCATATTGAAGAAGAAATTTGATTGCGTAGTATGCTAGTAATGCTAACTTGGTAATATCTAAAGAACTTGGCAGTCGAGGCAGTTTTAATTCCATTTTTATTTCCAATTGATATTTGTGGCCACAATCACTTTGCACTCTAGTCGTGCCTTTCCACAGAAGATTTACATTTTTGGTATTGTTAAGATAGAAAGCAAGCCAGCGAAATTACATCTTAGCACAGTAGAGAGCAAAAGCTGAAGTTCGTAGTTATGCAAGATGTAGGCACGCGAAGAGAAAAGTTTTGGTTTACAAGGACAGTTTCAGTTCTTAATTATTACGTCATCAGAGTTGCGCGGGCCATAGAGTGATCTAGAAATGACGCAATGCAGAGAAGTTATTACGATTTTAGAATAGAGAGGAAGAATTAATGTTTATAGTTTAATCTATAATTTTGATTCATATATTTTTATCTTACATATATATATTAAAAAATCAAAACCGTTTCGTGTACTGTCTCGATTCTTCTGTTTTGACGAAGCGCGATATGGAATTAGCTGGATTCGAAAACCATTGTGCATTTCGCCTGAAGAGTCCACAATGAGATTCGAATTAGGCTAATTTACCACTTACCGCTTCTTTATATCTTTGTATTTTTCCTTATGTCTTAAATAACTTTTGCATTTCTATTCATATGTTATAGGATAGTTTTAACTTTAATCAACATTTTACTTTCAATTTGATTCGAGTTTTAAATTCGCTTTTTATTTGTAAGTATTCTTGTTATAATTTCATTTATCTTGTATTTACACTTTTAATTGCAATTTATTTTAACTTAGTGTTAAAATTATTCACCGGAACCACAGTATCACATCTGCTATAAAGCAAAAGCCTGAAGAATATTCTTTTTACCCTGTTTTCTAATTTTTATAGCTGAATGCACAAAATTCTTGACCACAAAGGTCCCTTTTAGTTTGTTCTCATTTCTTAAATTATATATATATATATATATATAAAGCGCGCGAGACTGTCTATCGGAATTCTAAAGATATGCTGTTTTTAAATGTTTTAGCCGAAAGGGACATTGCCTTAAATGCTCTCAAACGAAACGTGCTTGTGTGTGTACATGAAATTAAAAAAAAAAAAAAAAAAAATCTGAAATGTTTCAGATTTTAAATTACGTCCAAAGGGGCGTTTTTTAACATTTTGTGTGTTACCTTTCTTTATTAAATATCATGTTCCTCGCACTTAAACCATAAGATCCAGTGCAACAGCAATATCGCAAAATAGTTTTAAAACGAGCATATCTTTAGAATTTCCGATACAGAGACTCACTCACGCGCTGGAGATAAAAATGTTTTTTCTGCACAACGTTGCCATTGCTCGCTTTGAAATCCTTGAGTTGTTTAATCAAAATTCGTCAAAGTTTTAAAAAATAGGAAGTCGATCATAAAACAAATTTCAAATTTCAAATTTGGTCTTCCACATGTTCATATTCGTTGGAGGATTACGTTATTCAAAATTCGATGACTCTATGTACCGTTTATTTATGACAATGTGAGAAATATACATACATTTACGCAGATTTTCATTATTTAATTTCTTCAAATATAATGCAGGACTCTAACATTTTATGGCAACAGTTTGAAAAGTGAACCGACATTTATCCGTCCGACGCAAAATGCCAAAACGAAACTAATAGTCCTTCGGGATTCAAATCCCTTTGGACTAAAAAAAAAAAAAAAAAAAAAAAGCCTTTTTAAGCGTAATATAAGATCTGAAAGCTTTAAGACTTTGTTTTTTAGTTTTATTTATTCCTTAACTTTTTTTTGGGGGGGGGGAAGGGTTGTAAACAGGGTTTGCAATGTTAAACAGGAACAATATTTAATTTAGTTGGGAAGTAAATTTTTAATTGCAATATAATTTAAGATTAAATATTTGATAATATTCAAAAATCATTCTGTAAGTGTTTTTGCCGTACATATTTGTTTGTGACAAAAAGACAGTTTCTGTACCAAACGTTTTACTGGTTAATATTATAATGGAGAGCTTTCTTAAGATGGACAAACTCTAGTGCTTAATATTAAGCACTGACATTGTTAATATTAGTATTAGCAAAATGTAGTTCGATAATTGTGGATGACAGTATTAGT